CATCAACTTTGCACACTGGTCATCCACTTGGTCACCAGACCCGATCCAAACAATGTTATGCAGATCTCCCTCTCACATTATAAGGCTGCCTCACATATTGAGTTCTAGAGATCTAAACACAGTATTTTCGTACTTTCCATAATGCAACTTGGCGTGATTAAATAATGAATGCTGCTGAAGAGCTCCTGTCATTTCTGTGCACAGGGGTCAGCGGCGTTCAACACAGGTCGCCGTTGTTCGCGCTTGGTAGGTCATCTGATGGTCCGCAAACTGAGTTTAGGTGCCCCCCCCCCCCCCACTCAGCTTTGTTTGTCACCCGGTCGGTCGGCCAGCCGGCCCCCACCTGCTGCAGAAAGCCACAGTGCACTTTCAGTCCATTAGGCCCCCAAAAACACTCAGACTGTGCATCCATTTCCTTAATGAAAGCCCCCCCCCCCTTTCTCCCACACCCGCCTGCTAGAGGATCAGGAAGAACTGCTCGCTTGTGACTGCAAACACGGCACGTTGGACGGAAACCAAAGTGGCGAGCAGGAAGAGCCCCTCCATCGAGTTCCCATCTGCCGCGACGCTCCACTTTAACGTGCTGTCAAATTAGATTAGTGTTGCTTTGTGAAGTCGGCTTCTTCAGCCAAGATATCAGAAACGGACTTTCACCATCTGACATCCAGATGACTGGATCCTGTTCATGTCATACGCATTTGGGAGACGTGTCTGCAGTTTGTCCATCACGTGGAGGACACCCCGATCGGTCCTCAGAGAGATGAGGTAACACATTCCATCCTAACTGCCTCCATACTATGTCGAAGGGGAAATAAACTACGTCACTGAAAGATGGGGAATCTTTTCCCACTTTTTTTTCCAACCTGAGCCGAGTCAGTTCCGTGTAGAGCGAGTACGAGGACATTTTTAAATCAATAAAAATGTCTCTTTTACACACTTCCTCAGGCTGGATTAGTCTTAATTAAATCCCTGTTTGGGATGGTCAGGGGTTATAGAGTGGTATTGACATCTCTATAGATTTGATAAATTACATAAAATATTCAGTTTTCTGACAGTTACTTGTGTCTCAATTCCCAAGAACTGATGTTTTTGTTCAATATTCTGTACTTTCAAGAGAGACAAAGAAATATCGTCTCAGGTGTTTCACCACATCATCCCGTCCACTTTGTTCTCTGCTCTGAGGACCACAGGAGGACGGGGCCATGTAGGGACAGCTGCTTGTGTGAACATTACAAACATCCCCATCCTGGATGATTCTTGTGACCGTCACCGGGAGGCCACGTCATCCGTGACTCATATCTGACAAGTCACAGGAGGGGGGGCGCGAGGGAGTCGAGTGAGCGACCCTCCAAACTCCCCCAGACGCTCCTCGCCCGTCGCTGCTCCCTCTGTTTAAAACACCACAACAAGGTAACTAGGGGAAGTGAGTCAGCGGTCTGCGGGGAGCCTGCTCCGGTCTGCAGGCTCGTCTCCACAATTACCAGGCCTGGTGTGTATTATCACGGGCCACGAGCACGAACGCCCCTCGCCATCAAACGCACGTTGCCGTGTCATTAGGATTTCTTCTGTAAGCAAAGACGGGCCGGCGTTTCATTCAGGCCTCGGTGGACACAGATGACTAGTTCAACACATTAAGCCTCTTCCTGAGTAACAAGTGAGCAAAAAATAAAAAAAACACTCCCTCGGGATACAATTCCTTTACAGGAAGTGAACGAGGCAGGCGAGACCGGTCTTGTCAGGCCGACATTCTGCACGGTCGACGGTCCTGAATCAGAGCTGTGAGCGAGACCCAACAAGATGCCCCAAGTTCCTGGTTTACCAATCAAGACCAATTCTGGTCATCTGTGGTTTGTTTCTAGGTCTCCTTTTGCAGGTCTGTCTTCAATGTGTGCGGCCTTTGTCGTAGGAAAAAAAAAAGGAGTGGGGGGGGGGGGTTGTGTTTTTCTCTTGTTCTTTGTGAATACTGTGCCCTAAAAAAGGCATCATGAGCAGAGAACAACCGTGTAGGCCAAATGTACTTTAGCAGCATTCAGTTGTGAAATATTTTCTCCACTTCAGGGACGATTGAAGTTCTCAGCAATAAAACAACCCCCCCCTCATAAATGGAGAAACTTAAAGAGCTTAATGTTCGATTGTGAAACATTGACCCCAAAAACTGCGTGTGAATGTGTCCTTTTAGGGGGGGGAAACAGCACAAAGTGTCACAAAGACAAAACTTTTTGGCGAAGAAAACCCAAGAGAACAGAAGCTCGTTTTTAGTCAGTTTGAAACGCGGTGAGAACCGTCACGTCCTCTGTGGCGGTTCTGACTTTGGGTTAAACAGCTACCGTGAGTATCCCACTGGTTTCGGGTGGTTCGGAACGTTACTTTGGTTCGCGGCCTACTCTCTGTTCAGAACCCACATTCGGGTGTGTTAAGGGACGGGCTGGGGGGGGGGGGGTTCCGCCTCGAAGAAGAAGAAAACGCTTAAAGCCACGTTGTAGAAATGCCGCTCTGAAGAGGGGAAACTACGCGCATTCTATGGAGCGTTTCGACCGCTAGCTAGGAAGCTAACACACGTACCGTCTCCCACACCCAAAGTTCGCCCCGAAGACCGAAGAAAACATTCCTCGCTTCTGCGCTTTCCTCGCTTGCAGTCGCCCAACGTGGAAGATAAAAAGAATAGGAGTTGGATATAAAGAACACTCACCGTGTGTTGATGCTAAACCGGGATGTCCGTTGATTTATAGTAACATCGGGCCGAAAAACGGTTTTCTTTTAAAGAAAAGGAAGAAAAAAAAACAGCTGCCGAGACGAGGACCGAACGTTAGCTGGAAACTGTTATAAGGGTCCGCTTTGTTTTATCCGGCAGCGCGTGCCGCTCCGCCGACTGCTGCGCGTCACGGTTCCACTCAGCGCGCGGTAACGGCTGACGGTGCTTTACCGACCACCACCGTATATTAACGACTGGAGGATGTTAACAGTCAACTGGCTCGCCCGAACACGTTACCGCCCGGTGCGGCTGCTGCGGGGTCGATTATTTTTTTTCCTCCTTCTTTTTTTTTTTTTTTTTTTGCGCCCCGGGCCAACGAGCGTCTTCTTGCCAGTTTAGACCCCGCCTACACAGGAAGAGCAGCGGCACGCAGCGGGTGAAGGAACAAGCGCACCTGGCCGCGGTGAACCCTTCCTCACCTCCGATGCGGTGAACGGGTTCCAAGTAACACGCCCGCGCACACTCAAGAACAAGTTTATTAATACAATGAAAAGTACAATGAAAAGTATGTTTCAGCAGTCCTACTTAAAGTGTTAAAATCAGGCTGCACGCCGAGTAGTTAAGTGTTATATTATTATTTATTATTATCTGTATTGATATTACTGCGGTGTGTTGCATTTTATTGCTGTTGGTGTCAAAACCTTTGCTTATGTCAACTGCTTTATATACGGTTAGATAATGTAATCAACACCAGGGCTTTAAGTCATATTCTATTGGATCATCAAATGTTTGACTTTGAGTCACAATTTTACAGTTACCAAGTTAAAGTTGCATAAATCACGCCCATTAAAAAGGTACTTTTAGTGCAGCAGGTGAGTACAGATGCTTACCGCGTTTAGCTTTGTTTTTTATTACACCAAATGTGCCTCACAAAAACCACCAAAGAGCCGTAAAATGTATTTTCTGTTTTTTGGCCAAGTTGCTATTGTCACTCACCTGTGTGACAAAGTTCAGTCACGGAGGACTGGAGCAGACAGGTTCGCCTCAAACCTCCACTCCCACGAACCCACAAGTGAGTCTGTCAGTAAAGCTTCATTCTGTGCAGCCAACCCTTTCTAAAGAAGCAGCAAAGAGAGTAAAAATGATGATGATGTGTTTGAATATTTCACTTAAGTAGAAGTTCCTTCATTCATGCAATGCAGGCTTGCAGTGTGATACGTACAACTGAACATACCAACTTGAAGCAAGCGGAAATTTAACACAAGATGTGGATAAGCAAGGAAAACGCTGTGATTAAATGTCACCTGCAAGCATTTTGGTGGAAAACCAGAAGGAAAAGCCAAATGGGAAAAATGAATAATGAGATCAGTGAGCCGATGACCAGCGCCCCCATTTTAGCCTCTGTGATCACAGTGAAATGTGTGATGAATACGAAACAGCTGACGCTGCCAGCTGGACTGATGACACACCAAGTCTCCGTCTCCATTTCCTCCAGAATCATACCCGCCACATACTTGTGATAATAAGCTCAGGGAGAGTTTATGCACGCTGCTCTACTTCCAGAACGAGTCCCAAACGCTTTAGTGAGGCCGAGCAGAGGCTCACGCTCCTGCTTTGCCTTTTCCCTTTTCCCCCCTTAAGAGTTTCTGAAGAGGGAAGAAAGTTTGCCGCCTGCTTGTTATGAATTTGGTGGAAACAAACGTTTTATGGAATAAGTTCCACGCACAAGACGGGTAACAACCATTCAAAGAGCTTATTATTTATTATAACATATAACCAATTGTTGTTGTGACGATAGGAGGGATTCGGTGGTGGAAATGACCAAACAACGTTGCAATTTATTAAAGTACCAAAAATTACCTGACATAGAAAGCATTCTTTTTCTTAAACCAGGCTTAATGCCATTAATTAAAGTGTTATAGATCAAAAAAAGAATCCCCCAACGTGCGTTTCAGTCTGGCTGTGTGCACAGGAGGTCAAATGGTGAAAATAAACGTGTGTTGGCGCTTCGGCACCAATTAGAGCACCACATTCCTCACCTGCACCGAAGTTCTCATGAGATCAGAGCGTTGCTGATCTGCTCTGTAGACCCACAATGCATTGGGAAAAGGTAGAGGAGCTAAAAGAAAAACAGGTGAAATGTAGTGAAAAAGAGTTAAAGAAAAAAAAAAAAGGTTTTAAAAGACGTGCAATTAGGGAACCGTTGTCAGAACGAAGGTCACCGTTCTGGAGGAAGTTAACGGGACGACCAGGAGAAACATTTGGAAGCAGGACGCACACTTTGATCTTCGTCTTGAGTCTCTTGGTGGACATCTTATGGCTCGACATCTAATGTCTTTGTATTTTTTTGTGTCTACCTGAAGTGCTTCCTTGTGGTTATTTGGAGTCTTCTGGGTTAAAAGGGGAGTTTAGTAATCCGTCCATTAAGTGCAAATCAGTTTCGTTGAATTGAACAGCTTAATGTATTTATTTAACAAACACGCCCGTTAATCAGGGAAATCCAAAGAACAGCGGGACTATTTCCTCACGAGGCAAATCAAACCACCTCCATTCCCAGAAACCAGCAGAGGTCGTGAAACGGGGCCTCTGAGCGGGAGGACAGAAACAGCACAGCGGCTTTTACTTAAAACATTTATTTGATCCAATTCTTTGGAATGTAATAGTCAATGATCAGAGTCCGAGACAACAGAGACGGATGAGTCTGGGTGCTGACCAGAAGTCGGAGTACAAACAATACTTTTAGTCACTTAAGGCCTCACTGCTTTTTCCTATTTCTTTTTTTTTTTTTACTTCCATATTTCCTTTCTTTTCGGGTTTTTTTTCTGGATCTGAGACAGCAAAGAAATTACAGAAGCAGTTAGAAAAAAAACAATTCTTCTCGTCATACAAAGAAAACAAAGAATAAAACGATAACACGTACATCAGTGACGGTACAAAACAAGGTGATATTATACCAAGTGAATAAAATTGTTACGTTTCAAAGAGACGCATATAAGCTTTTTCGAGATTGAAAAACATCTCCGTAAATTGTACTTCTACAGAGTTATAACAGTTAAAAAGAATCAACGATAACACCGTCCCCTCCCTTTCTGTCTTTCCCTCTTTTCATAAATCAACATCATAAACAACAAGATTCATTTTTTTCTTTTTAAATATATCAGTGCATCATTTGTTTTCACGCGTAGTGCCGCAGCATCCTTTCTGGTTTTCGGGAGGGGAAGAAGCGTCATCGACACACATCCTGCCGCACTGAAACGACCACGCGGTGCCCCGGGTGCTGTAAACATATTGAAACCCATTTGAACCGGCTCACGGTCACGGCGCCTTCGTCTGCTGGGGAAACGTGCAGCTGCGACCGGACGGCCGCGCTTGAATTCGAGCGGACCTCCTCTGCAACAAAGAGTCTTTGTGAACATCCGTCGCTCCACGTTTCCGGCACACGTGGAACAGCGAGCGGACGGAACCAGAAGACGGTTAATGTCACAGTGTCCCGCCCGCGTGGCGGCTTCTTGATCTCTGCGAGCGAAGCGCCGAGTTTGCCACCGGTCGGAGGGGGACGAGGCCCCCGTCCTCTGTGCAATGACAAACAGCTCAGTTGTCTTCTTCTTCTTCTTCTTCTTCTTCTTCACCGGGGGACGTTTCTGGATTTCCAGACTGCGTCCTGCCGGCTGTGAACACGCGACGAGTGTCACCACACGTTCAGCTACAAAAGACCCTCTCACTTGAGGACGAATCGTCCTTTTCAGATTTAACCCAGTTTGTCCACTGAAGCATTCAGGTGCCTCTAAAATGAACCAATCGGTTGGATCTGATTCACCTGAAACGTCGACATCCCTGCTGTGGTTTACAGGTAATGAGGCCTTGTGTTGACTAAGAGATTGAAACGCAAAATAAGCTGCAGCAGGAACCCTCACATCTACTTTCACTGCTGAGTCAAATAAGGTTGATTTTGGAGGCTCTTTGCTCTGATTCTTTGTTATACATTTCTTTGACTTAACTGTGTGTGTTACTTAAACCCTGTCTCCTACAAAATGACGTCGCACTGCCCTCTGAATAACGGATCGAGAAAAAAACGTATTTTAAGTGTGGTAAAGCCAAAGCGCTACGGTGTACTTTGATAGGTTTGGGCCACATAAGTGGGTTCAGTAAAAATATTTAATATTTAAAAGTATTTAGACACAAACTTTCCAAATTCCTCCACAACATAATGCTAAACGGATAGATGGAGGTGCGCGGCGATGATGGGACGGAGTCATCAGGTTTGCGGTGAGCTAAAAATATTTAGATCCTTCAACAGATTCCTCCTCTGATAGTCAACAACAACAAACAAAAAAAAAGCACAGCATTGTCGTTGCAAACTTTGATTCTCAGTCTTTCAGCGTCTTTCGTCTCTCCTGACACACTTCAGGTAAAATGTCCAACAGTCCCTTTGTGTGTCGTCGCCGTGGTGGTTCTGAGGTGCTCCGTTTTTACCCTGTACAGAAACAGCTCCTCCGGCGAGGCGTCTCTCCATAATCTCAAAAGCCCACAAAATCGCAGCCAGGTCGAGAAGAAACGCAAAGAAACGGGTGCGGGTCTCATCGTGTTGAAAGGAATGCTTTCTGCACACTTTAGAGAGAGTTTGATTCAGAGAAAGGATACTGCGGCACTTATGTCTTTCTTTCTATGTAGAAAAGGGCGCTCAAATATATTAAAAGCTATGTACAATATGTCGGATGTGTCATGTGCCGTGAACATGAGGCCTTCGGAGCTCCTGCGTGAGGAGGAACCCCGGACGGTGAGAGAACAACCAGCAGAAAACCAAGGCAACAGAAAAAGAATAAAATAAAAAGGCACTGTCGGAACTAGACACGGGTCAGCGGGTCACACACACACACACACACACACACACACACACATGAACCCGAGTTTGATGCACACGTACAACGGCCGCTGCCTGACTGAGTGACCCATGCGCACCTTGGACGCGGATGTAAATGAAAGCGACACACGTACAAACACACTTTCACGCACCAAACGAAAAATCCCAACTGCAAATTCCACATACTCAAAAAAAAAAAAGACGATCTTTCCATTAAAAGTACACAAACTTTCATCTGAATTGGTCTCAACACCAGCATGTGATTACATGAACTCTACGAAGCACGCCGAAAAACAAATAGAATCCTTAGATTTCTTCTTTTTTTGTTCAGTTTTCCCCTCCGCTGTACAGGTTCTTTATACACAGTGCCCCCTGCAGGTCAGTCCCCTCCACTGCTGCTCCTGAGAAAAGAAAAAATGACATTGGCTCCCCGACCCCAACGACCCTCACGCCTCCGAGTAGTTATTCTGTCCGTTCATCTTGTCCTTCTTTAGCTTCACGCCGTCCACCAGCTCAAAGTTATAGTTCTCCAGCGCGGACAAGTTCCTGTCCGTCATGCTGCCCTGCGAGCAGGCGCAGTACAGGACCACGCCGCAGATGGCGCCCAGGAAGACGCCCAGCGCGGACATGGCGATGATGGTGATGAGGATGGGGTCCAGGGTCTTCAGCATGTTGCCCGGGCCGCCCAGCTCGCCGGAGTCCTGGGGGAGGGAGTCCATCGCTGCGGGAGAGACAGGGACGCCCCGTTAATGTGGGACATTTGGCATGAGATGTCATGTGACCCCTTAAAAGACAGATGCGTACAGTATATGCAACACGAATGAGCGCATTGAGCCGGAGTTTAACTCACGCAGGATGAAGATCTCGTTTGGGGGAGACGTAGGAGCTTCTGGATCTGGAGGAAGAAACGACGGCCGTCATTCGATTAAATCAAAAACCAGGAAGTCAAACACAACAAAGAGAAGCAAAGTCAATAGTAATAGTACACCGTTACGACACAACGCAACACAACACAACACACACCCTTGCAGTCCTCAGGGGAGAGTCCATCTATGATCTGGATGTTGTCCACGGCTATGTGACCCGTACTGCGGCTGTCTGCGACGCCTTCCACGACCACCTGCACACGGACACACGGACAATTTAATTTGCTATACAAATGTATCCTGCTCTCCCAGCATGCATTGTGCCAGAGGCAGGGATTTCCTGTGTAGCGGTTCCGACTCTTTTTAGCTTTTTATTACAGTTTTCCTGACTTTAGTGTCATTTAACGCACACTAAATCTCATCAGATGGTGCATTGAGATATTAAAACGGAAATAAACAAAAGCCTCAAGCAAAAAGCCACAAACGACCCCCTTTGAGGAGCCCCTTTGTCACCTGGTATGAGGCGCCGGAGCGCGGCAGCCGGACCCGTCCCTCCCTCCAGCGGCTGCCCTGGTGCCCGCTGACCATCCACAGGATCTGCCCCGCCTCGGCCTCCATCCTCTGCTTGATGTGGAGCGCCCCTGCATGCTCGCCGAACATGTGGTACCAGAAGGACATGCAGAGGACGGCGTCCTGCTCCGTGATGGGCAGGCTGGCCAGGCTGGCCACCTTCTCCTCGTCCCCCTCGGCCTCGGGTGCGCTCGGTGCGTCCGCGCCCCCCTGCTGCATGTAGATGAAGTACCCCGGTTTGCCTGCAGGGGGCAGCAGAAGGCAAGGTAAGAGTGTGTGCAGTTCAGGGGACCCTCGCTGTGTGGATTTCACTATGCTTTTAAATTAAGACCTCACTTTCTATACATCTGGAACGTAAACAGGAGTCGATATCAATGATATCAAACAATTGAATCTTTCCAGAAACCCTCGAGGCTTCGTTATGCGCCCACTTTATCAGACTCGATTGAATGTAAATGACTGTGTTTCTCCGTCAGTGTAATTCCCTGCGATCACGTTCAAGGACTCGCTATCAGCGCGCTTCAGGAGGCGACGTGACGTGACAAAGGGCTCATTTGTTTTCCCTGTGATCTGATAAGAGTCTGGGAATCAAGGTGAAGTCGTTCGTTCTTCCCAGTGGAGGGAAGGTCGGGCAGCTGATAATACGGATTAATCCGAGTCTTCAATTAAACACTCACACGTTTTTCAAGGGTGTACATTCGTTTAGAGTTTAGAGTTGGGGGGGATCAAAGAGAGGTTATGAATAGTCGTTTGGGTGTTTTTTATGATTCAACATCTTATTCCTGATTCCATCATTATTGCTCAGTTAATTCAGATTTCCAAGGTGCCCGTATTTCTCCATTGGTCGCATATTGTAACCAAGACACTCAAAGCGAGAGTTGGATTCTCTAGTTGGTCTAATTAAGGTCATATAAAGAGTTTCTACATCCATAAAAAACAAAGAAATCTTCCATTCCATTCTAATCCACCGATGCTGCATACCATCAAGGTAGAATTGTGTCTTTATAATGCAAAAAAAAAAATGTTTCGAGAGCAAATGTATTGCATTGCAAACAAAAATAAAGTTTGTAAGTAAAAGTATATAAACTGAGAATAAATAATTTGCTAGTTTTTCTTGTGAAACTATTGTTTTTGCCTGCAAAACAAAACCCTCTGGTCTCGAAAAAAACACCTTTGGTCTCGGATCAAAAAGTTTTGCGATCTGAGTTTGCGCGTGGTGGGCGGGGCTTACGCCGCTGAACGAACCAGGAGTTTCTATTGGTGGATCGACTGTGCGCTCGCTGTCTGCTTCCACCATTAGAGTGGCGAAGGTGACAACCTCCAGTGACATCACTGTCTCTGTGACATCACAGTGGAAACAACCCTTCTTGGTCACATCAATTTATTTTTTATTTTTTACTCTGAATTCCGAAATCAGAAAAATCTGAATTTTTTTTTTGTTTGTTTTGTTTGCATAACAAAGACACAAATCTACCTTCATAAATACAAACAGCCAAACAACAACAAGGACGTCGCCTCCTCACCCGTGTGGTCCAGGACCGGCCCCCGGTGGACCGAGCTGGCCCCGTTGGTCTGGATGAGCCACTCGGCCCCCACCCCGGTCTCCCTGGTCCAGGCGCAGAATGACGCGTAGTCGAAGTTGCAGGCGAACCACATGTAGGCTGCAGGCGAGGAGAGAAAAGAGGGATGGAACCGATTGATTAGTCACTGAAGCATTTATTCCACTCCGCTTTGCAGTGCAGAACCTGATCTGTTCCTCTGCAAATGTCCAGAAAGCCGACCTTGTTGTCGGTTACTTTGAATTCTTAAAAAAATAAAGACAGAGGCCTCAATGAATTGAATTAAATGGGGACCATCAACCGTAATCCAAATATGATTTATCCGGTGCTCGCTGCTTCACCACCATACATGCGTCTTCATTAAAACCAAGAGCGTGAGACTGCAGCGTTTCACAGGAGGCTGTAAGTGAAGATGCATGTGTTTGAGATTATACGCATGTGTGAGAGTTTAATCTACTTAAATAGTACGCAACGGCTCATACTGTAGGCAACGTCTTCCTTCAGAAGGCTGCGATGTTTTCCCACCACTCTCAAGGGAAAACATTCCCGCTTCCCCCTCTTGAGGCTTTATATTCACGGCTCAAACGCTACGATCACGTGCAGCGATTCATCGGCCGCCATGCGGGTTTGTGTGGCCTCTC